ATTGCCCCTTTAACCCCACCACTGTTTAATTATGTGTCAAAAAAGTTGGTTGGCTACTTTTATGAATAAATAAATAAAATAAATCTCATTTTAAACACTGACACCGACAAGGAGACAATAAAAAAAAAGATCCTATAACTGTAAAGTACTGTACATCTGTTTAGCACTATTGCAGTCTAATTAAATAACAGACCCGCAACCATAATTAAAAAACAGGAAAGCCGCACCCACATAAATATATACAACGCTTGATGTGACAAACAAGTTTTCCTGGAGGCAGAAGAGAGAAACACAATGCCACAAAAATGTCCTTAACGTCAGACTTTGTCATGTTTTGGTACTTTTTAAAACAGATGTTATGGATAGGATTTAGCAACATTTGAATCTGATGATGGTTCATCTTTATTTGCTTATCCCTTCCCTCCATTATGTATTTTCTCTGTTGTGCATCCTCAGAAGTTCTACAGTGCTGCTCAAAGGTTTGTGAACCGGGAGTCTTCCTCATAGTGTAAAGCTCTCCCCAGACCTCCTCTGATATGTAGAGTATACTCGGATAGCGCTGCACGATATGGTCACAACTATTTGAGCAGATATTGCGATATGATTCACGATTATAGTTATAGTTCAGTGCATCTCTGCAACTCTGCAGTCCTTCATTATAAAGCTGTTTGCTGTTGCAATTAATTTAGTCATCAGTTCTGTGCCAGCTGATTGTGTTAACCTGCTCGTTTTAAGCAACGCAGCTCCAGGTTCGCGGCCTTTTGCCCCTACGAAAGTTGACAAAAATGGTAAAACGATAGAAAAATGCTCAGGAGGTTCACACACTTTCAAGCAGCGCTGTATATGTAACTCTCAGATAAACCATGAAAGGTGTTGTACAAATAAAGCTGAACTGATTGATAATAAGGATGTGTTTTTTTTGTCCAAACTTAATGATTGTTGCTGATTTACTCATGCATATTAAATGCTGTAGAGAAATACAGTTTTTTAACCCTGTGTTGCAGGATTTGTGCTAATTTCACCATCATGTAACGGAAACTGTGCGTGGTTATCAAAGACATCACCTCCTCTTCCTCCTCCTCCTCCTCCTCCTCCACATTTTGCTTTCCATTTTCTCCATTCTACAGGTGAACATTGCATTGCTACTCAACAACAGAGCTGACTGTAGGAGCTTCGTTCTACTGAGGCGATGAGCCATAGAAACTATATCTGATATGTTGAGAAGAAGCTTGTTTTGTCCATCAAACGTTGTGCTACATATAAAACACACACACACACACACACTCATTCTACCAGGGGCACCAACACGGTCCAGCTTTGACCACGTTTCCTCTCTCACTCGTCGTCCCGTTTTTGTTGGTCGAGTAATGACGACGTGTCAAGCAGACATCCTCTGAAATAACTAATTAGGGAGTGAGTCAGCTGAATCCGGCTGCGCCTCGACAGGAAGTGTCCCTCGTCTGGGTAGATCTGTCCCAAAAAACACGAGGGATGCATGAGTAAAGAAGATACAGAAACACACAAGGTCATACAAAGCAAAGCAGCTTGAAATATGGAGGGTTTTTTTGCACATTTTTCTGAATAGAAGAAAATTATTTTAACAAATTCCTTGAATAATTGACTGTAACTCCACTCAAGGTCCACTTACTTACTTGTTCTTGTTCTTCAGCATGTGAGGTTTGCTCAATTGTCATTCAGCTGTTGACATTCAAGTCACTAAATGTCTAAGTGCTCCAAATAAATAAAATCCACACTTTTTTTAAATCTACAGTTCTTCGACTGAGGGCACTTTACTTGCAGAGGAAGGCCATGTGATACGGTCAAAAGCTCAAAAACAAGCAAGTGAAGCTGACCCTGAGTGGAGATTTTTGTTGGATTTCTTTGTTTCCGTCACGGGAAAGTCTCTAAATGTCAACTTTTTTGTCACAAAGACATCTACCTTTGATTTCTTTGGTTTGATAAGCGTGTGTTTTTGAGGCGAGGACAAAAAAATTGATCTGAGATCAGGGAGAAGTCTGAAAATCAGGTAAATAGAGTTACAGCAGTAACAACAGCGAGACATTTCATATACTGCTTTTAAACAGATTGTAGTCTGGGCTACAAAATGCTCAAACATTAGAGATTAATTCTTCATTTCTGAGTTGGACAAACATATTCCTGTCATTGTTTGGCATCTACAAGACTTTCTGTATAATTTAAAGCTCTCAAAGCTCACCAACTCCCAGTATTTTCTAATATATTATAATGTTGCAGAAGCCAATATGTTGTTTATTTTGTCTCCAGTTTAAAAGTATTTTGCCTACCTGCATAGTGTAGTTGGCTCCGATCTTTATTAAGTGTTTGATGAGCTCTGCCGAGTGCTGAAAGTGAACGTTTGCTGTGGAGAAAAACAAGACATGCAAATACGGGTCAACGGGGGTTAATTCGTTTCTCGTTTCAAAAGACGACCTGAAAAGACTTCCCGTAATAACACACATTACAGCTTTCTGTACGTACCGTCAGCAGTGCCGTGAGCCAGAAACAGAGTTCCTTCGTGCAGACTTTTCATGTTGAGCAGGACTTTGGATGCCTAGAAACACAAATTCCTTATCAATACATTGTATTTTTATAACCGTATCACATGCTTTATATGTAAAAACTCTCAAAAGGAATAGTTCAACATTCATTATCTTTCTTGCAGTGAGTTAGATGAGGAGGTTGACACCGCTCTCGTGTCTTTACGATAAAATATGAGGCTACAACCGGGAGCCGGTTAGCTTAGCTTAGCATTAAGACTGGAAACAGGGGGAAACAGCTAGATTAGCTCTGTCCAAAGGTAACAAAATGCACCTACCAGCACTTCTAAACGCTCACTAATGAACATGTTATATCTAATTTATTTCATCCTTACAAAACCATACAGAGATGAGAGTGCTATCATAATTTTGTGTGTGTCAACATCAAGCCCTTATTTTGCATGCTGACATCTTTGAGTAAACTTAAAGGTACCCTGTGGAGTTTTTTTTTTTTTTTCAACATTATGTTGTTTACATTCAGTGTCTCTCACCACAACACATTGTGTGTATTCTTAAGGCATCCATGTTTGCTAGCTAGCACTGTCCTTCTTCACTACTTTTGTTGGCGAATTGCTGCACGTTGTTGTTGTTACTGCTGACAACCATCAGTCAGTTGAATAGTTCAACTGTGTATCACGTGCAAGGTCATCCTTGTGCACGAGCTGCCAACAAAACAGGGACCCACTCTAAAAACATGGCTCCAAAGTGGTACTACTAGTACTAGTGGTCAAAAACTCTAGAGGGTACCTTTTTAATTTGGTCACTTTTCCAGTATGAATGTGCTTCATTCT